ATATATATATATATAACAATAAAAAATAATCACAACAAGAAAATGGTCTAGCAAGAGAGCTGCTTAAAGCTCTTTTTATTACACTTGTTCAAAGTGAGTGTTCTGCATTGCAACAGGTCTTGCATGCAAACCCCCACCCACATTCATCTGTATGACCGCATTTCTTTATTAATAGAAGCAGCTGGTGGCACAATGCATTGCATCTGGCCTTCCAGATTTAGCTCCAGACATACCGAAGCATTTTCTTTGTGTCAGCTTTTCATTTGTCCTCTGTCAAATCAAAGCAGTATCTCCCAAAGCCAAATCTACAGTTTTTTGGAAAACAATCAAAGCAGAGCGGGGAAGAAACTCACATGCACATGCCTGATGATGTGTAGTAGAAGAGAGGAGCACCTGGTTCAGGGATTTTTAGCTGCTTGTCTTCAATTGACTTCAAAACGCATGAAAGAAAAGTCGCTAAACTTCAAAGAGAGCCCTAATCCATGGATGTTATTCACTATACCTCACTGCGGGGTGTGTATGAAGGGCCATAGATTAACTTATTTCTCAGGGAATCAGAAGCAAATTACTTAATGCTTTGAACTTTTAAATAGCCTGTGTCAATCTGCAGGCGGTGTGACACGCTAACACACTCTCAGAGGAGCCTGTTTTTTTGCACAAGGGGCCCAGGTGTGAAGAAAGGACCGGATGACAGAAACTGGAGTGAGAATCTGTTGTCCCACAGCTGACCTCACCCTGGGCAAAGGTGTTGCATGCTGCTGCAGGTGAAAGGCATACAGTGGAGAGAGAAACCTGCGTGTGACTCAGCAGTGTGGAACTCTCATCTCCTCTTTTAGTCTGAAGCGTAAACACCAACGCCTTCTGTGTTTCTTTTCATGTCGGCAGACTTCACACACAGCACCCACGACGCCTTGAAAAATCTGTCACCATCAAAGTTTGTAATCAATGATGTTCCTGCACACATTGGAATGTTATGGCATTAGTCATACAGTTTGTCTCCACCAGAACTCTGAAGTGAATTTTTCTCTTTGGGAGGCTCTGTCTCTTTCCTCTGCACGCCTGACTGGACAGTCTGGCTCCCAGATAGCATCAGGCTGTCTGAGATTAGCGCTCATGAGGGCACAGTTAAACTTGTAAAAGCTCTGGACTCCTGTCCCGGTGCCTCTGTTCTACACAATAGCTAACAGCAATTGTGAGTGTGGCACAATACTGATAGCCTGTCTGCATTGTCACTGTGCCCCTGAAATGTGCCTAAGCCTCAGAGCTTATTGTAGAGGCAGCCACAGATCTATGTCCATGAGTGGACTGTAGAGCCTGCTGCTGTTGTTGTCAGGCAGTTTAGCAGTGTAGCAGACAGATAATCGGGCTGCTCAGTGTCCCATGGCCCAACATTTTTGGAAGTGGACAGCTGATAACTAATCATTTAGGCTGCAGTGCTCTGCCAGCCTTTTGTTTCAGACACTGAATAACACCTCTATAATGGGATAGCAAAATGCACCTGGCTTTGTTTATATTGTCTTTTATTGCGTTATAAATGTAATAAATGCAAGGGGGAACATTGTGTTTTAATTGGTGAGGAGATATGTCAGATATAACATACAATGGTCGAACACAGTGTATTGCATTTATAGGTTCACATTTTTTCAAGGCTCTCTTAAAACATTACTCACGTGCTCATATGTACATTAAAACAAACAAAGTTTTTGTTTGCTGTATTTGTTCATGGTTTGTCCTGTGCAAAAATGCATAATGTCTGAGTCAGAAAATAGAGCCAAATGGGACGTCTTCAAATTGCTTGTTTTTTCCAACAAACAGTCCAAAGCTAAAAAAGGAAAAATATTCAGTTTTAAATTGTATAAAACATAGAATATCAGCACTTTTGAAAACCTGGAAGCAGAGAATGTTTGGCATTATTGCTTAATAATCAACTCAAAATAGTTTTCTTCTTTCTGTCAGTCAACTTAATCAGTGTATAGCTGCAATGTTAAACCGCCATATTTCTAAATTTGCTCAGAGTGGACAAACCAAACACTGGCTGTAGGATTTTTTTGCGGGTTTCCTCTCGTTTTACTTGGAAGGAGAGGGTGAAGAAATGGAGTTGCAGTCTGAAACTACACCGCTTAGGACTGTTCACACTGGAATCTGATCTGAGATCAATAAATCAGAATTGAGCACTAATGC